TTTTCTCTCAACTATTTTGGAACATAAAGTGGAAGAAAGTATGTGTTTGTTAAATTTTGATTAGATCGATTACAAAATCTGGAGAAAAGCTCAGACGAATATCATGGGAAAAAGAGATTATTAAAGAGAAAATTTTTTCCAAAAGCCGGAGGGGTCCACACCCCCTCCTTTGATCACAGCATTGGATATTTTATACTCTTGAAATAACGTTATCCTACAATAAGACATTTCAAACACACGTTTCAAACATCATCATCTCTTTTAGGCATGATAAAGTTCCTGTGGACAGCAATTTCTTAAATGGGATCGATACTAATCGAGAAGGGTCACATTTTATGGTAAACCAATAGTCAACGTTGCCACGTTACCCGCAACATACCAAATATGAGGTAAATCGTACATAATTTTTTTTCAGAAGGTGCGGCAGTTTAAAGTTTTTTTACTAGGTTATTCGGGTATGATTGACAATTGGAATATTCAAAGCATTCACGATCCTGCTACAACTTTCATACCACTTACGGTATTAAGAGCTGAGCAACAAAAATTCGCATGAATCCCTTGTGTGGATTAACCTAGTAGAAACTGCTATACTAAATAAAGAAAGCGTTTATTGTATTTTAGTGAAGTGAATAACTCATTTTATACCGGTATTAATCAATACCAACGCCGGTTACTCATTTTGATCAACGTGGTTGCCCCCGCACGGCTACCGCAGCCTTTTTATCAGAAAGTTTAGCACATTAGAAGTTATTGCTCAAAGATTGCTATCACGTCCGAAGATTCAGTACCGATTCGTCAACACGTTACAGTGTCGACGTCTTACTAATATCTTTCATCTCCCTTCCCCATGTTGTCGACGAGTCAGGAAAAAAATTAATGAGTCGACGAATCGGGACGTTACCCTTCCGAAGTTCGTGTCGTTTTGCTGACCAAGCTGGCGATTTATCCACTTCTGTGACAGCTGTCGTTCTGCATAACCCATTTAATCAATCAGATGTTAACAAAGATAATTCCTATAACTCCCTTGTAGAGATGTTAGCCGATAGACTTTTCGTCGGCGTGAAGAATGTAAAAGAAATTTGCAATCGGCAGCGAACGTAGCGTTTATTTCGACCTTCGGCGGGTTTGGACTCAACTGGGTGCTCATGAGTGCTTATGAATCACGAGTTTTGTGAAAAACGCCTAACGAGGGAACCGCCGGAGATGCACTCCTCCGATTCCAAGGATTTGTACATTGATCGATAGATCTCAGTGAAGTACTAAATACCTTAAAAGAAGTCAGGTTCATGGCTCTTGAAGACCCGATTTTCTGGAAAACCATTTTTTCGAGAAATCTGAAAAATAATCAAAACTTTTTTTAATGAGGCATGATTGTAGCCCGTAAATTTCTGATTAAAATGAGACATCTGCCAGCTCTACACGATCTTTCTTTACAAAGTTATAGAGTTTACAAGAAAAGCCCTAAATGTTCATTGTCAACTCAAAGTTACAGAAATAAGAAAAGATTAATTTAGGACTTTTCTTGTAAACTCTATAACTTTGTAAAGAAACGTCGTGTAGAGCTGGGAGATGTGTCATTTTAATCAGAAATCTATGGGCTACCATTATGCCTCATTAAAAAACAGTTTTGATTATTTTTCAGATTTCTCAAAAAATTGGTTTTCCAGAAAACCGGATCTTCAAGAGCCATGAACCCGAATCCTTTTAAGGCATTTACTAGCTCACTGAGATCTATCAATGAATGTACAAATCATTGGAATCGGAGCGGTACATCTCGGAAGGTTTTCTCGTAAGTATACAAAATGGCGTGAAAGTCACCGTAATTCTTATTATTCTTAATTATTTTATCAAATGTATTTCAGTTGAAAAATTCTCTGAGATATTCTCAACTGAGATACTTGATTAAAATATGGATTGTATCTCAGTTGAGATGTTGCGCTTCGGCGGCGACCATAGTCAAAAAATTTGCTGCATCGATGGCGCGGCTAATATCTCTACTCCCTTAATGCTAGAACGTCTCCAATGAGCCATATTCACATCCTGATGAGGACGTTGTGCGTTGGTCATCAAACGGCTTGAAAGCTGGCCGTATGATTGCGTGTTATGTATTGTGTAGACAGAATGCAAGAAAACAATGCTCCGATGTAGTGATCTCATTAAGATATGAATATGCCTCATTGTTATTCACCAACCCTCAAGTGTGAACGAAGTAATAAAAAAAGGTCAAATAATACGCTAAGGACTTGTTCAGACTACACTACAAAAGCTAAAGAGCATTAACGAATCCGATTGGTCGATGAAAACTTAAGTCGTTACGAAAACAAGATAACTTAAGTCGGAATTAAGGATGCTGTTTGGTTGTAAAGTTAATTGAGATCAGTAGTTTGAACATAGCCCAAGTTCTGTAAAACTCCGTCTGCTCGTGTAAAGGCGAATCAAGCGATTGTCAGTGGAAACAAATCAATTTTGTTTTAACAGAGATTTTATTAAATCTACTTAGAAAATGATCACGTTCTTTTGTCTGATATAGTCTACTCAATATTATTTATTAATATATTCTAATTTCATAGAATCATACATTTTTTCTATATAACGAACAATTTTTTTATACCTTTTTTTTACTTTATTGATAGTGAAAACAATGCAAGAATGTAAATATTTTCAATAAAGTATTTTTTCATATAGAAATGTTTTGTGTTTTATTTGATTTAATGCGTATCTTGAAATTGACTGAATTTTTGATCTATGAAACTACGTAAAACGAATATACGAATTATCATAGAGTCAAAGTGTTTTGTTTTATTTCTTTGAAGATGTAATCGTTGTTTACGAATCACTCGTTCGTGTCATAAATACTGACTTATTCTGCGAAGAATTGAGGAATTGAAACTTATATCAAGGGTAAACAGCAAATGCCGATCCCTTTGCGATTTTTCTCTGATTTTAGTATATCTTATGAACGTAAAATAGTTTGAAATTGAGTTGAAAGTTTTTATAAGAAAGAGTGCGTTTTTATCTAATTTCATATATTCTAATGAATATCAGTTGAATATTTTTAGAAATAGTTTGAAAATATTGATACATGTATACAGCGAAATTTTTTAGTTAGTCATTCAGAGTTATCGCACTTTCGTATACAAGATGTTCGGTTTTATTCACTTTAGGTGTACAAATCATCTGAGTGATAAAAGCTGAAAATTATTGATCAACGCATATTTTAATTGCGTTTAATGTGAAACTACCATGTTTTTCACTTCACAGTCAGGTTTAGCGTTCCTCTCAACATATATGATTTAGTATAAAAGTAAATTAAATACATCACTACTACAAAGGCCCATTCTTCGTACAAACGCTTATCAGTTTTTACAAGATAAATATTTATAGCGGAAAATTTACATGAAATTTTGAAATGAAATCAAAGTCTACACATATAGCGCTCGATTGGCTACAAAAAAGTTTGTTATTAAGTTTTTTTTTGATCGACGCTATTCTAGAAGGATTTATTATGTCTAAAGCTGAAGTCAAAAAGTTTGATCTATTTGCGTCATACTTAATCTTAGACGAGATTTAGAAAAAATCCAAATGAATGACGGGAAAAATGTCACCTGATTTGTTACGTATTCGTACTCAGTGTAGTTATTTTTGAATGTTCATGTCACAAAAAACTGATATGTATGTAATAACAGGAGACTTGTACATGGAAACCTACTTTATTTTTAAACAAACTAGCGCGTCAATACCCGCATCCGTTTTTGTGACACTAAATATATTAGAGAAAGCAACGTTTTTAGATGACTTGTTGATTGTTATGCATGTAAAGTACTCCACAAAAGCAGCAATCCTCTGTAACTCAAGAATCATGATAGCTAGTGACTTCTAATTTTGTACGATCACAGCTCTCACTGAATGCTGATCACGCACTAAGTTTAAACTTCTTCTACTGGTCGGTTCGTAAGATATAAGCTATTCATTTCTTTTCCGTAAAATGTCAATAACTCCTGATCTACAAGAGATGAAAACGTTTTCTTGTTACCAAAATGTAGCCAGAATTCTACTCTATCTAGTTACGAATTACATGAGTTGACTGTTAATGGTTAGTGGAAAATACAGCTATTTTACGGGCCAGGAGCACTTCTTTTTCTATTGAAAATTCAAAGATCTTTGTGAAAAATATTCATAACTCAGTCTAGGAGCATCATTTTGACTTCAAATTCGCATGAAAGACTCTACAGTGTCTGTAGACTATCTAGCCAAAGTATGAAGGTTAACTATTATTTGATTCTAGAAATTCATTGAGAACGAGCGCCCACGATTGAAACATACGTAGAAGGACGAGCGTGAAGACCTAAGAGTAGCCTTGGCCACTATAGAATCTGCATTCATATTCATGGAAACCTATTGTTCCGAAAAACGTAGGTGAGCCTTTTATCAGAACGATTGCACACTCATCTTTAACCTTCGCCATTTCAGTTATTTTGCGCACTCTTCACTTCCCTTATATTTCCAAGCCAAACTAATAACATATTTGAGATCAACAGGCAAAACTTGGTCGAACAGCCCACTTAACACTCGGTTTTTGAACAAAAAACTCTCATTGAAAAGTTTCTCCCTAGCTTCATCGTACTCAGATTTACAGTGAAAGTATATCTTTGGTATATATTTGTGTGGAGAATGTAGACAGATCATGGTAGATAGAGAATTTGTTTATGAATGAGGTTTTTGATAACCAGTTTCATTCACTTAGTCATATTGTTTCTAGTCATCTTTTTATTTTAAGGATTAAAAAAAAAATATTTGCAACAGAAAGTAAATACAAAAATACCCTTCCATAACAATCGTTTATAGAAAAAACATTGAGTGATATAGAGTGTATTTAGCAAAGACAATTTTTCTGGACTAAAATACTAAAGAGTAACTAAACAAAATAAAAAATTCGATAAACAGTTCACACTTTTCACTTTGAATTACGCGAATATTCGTCTTTGTATGAATAAAATGATTTAAGCTATTTTTTTCCAACATGTAACTGTAGCTGTTGACTTTGGATAAATATCACTTCGACAAAATTCTATAGCATGCAATGTGTCCGATTTCATTAATTCAAAGCTAAAAATGAAAAATGTGTATTTGGTTGAAAGTGATATAATAAATGAAATACGTACTCTTCTCCTATAAAATGTGTCAAATTATTCTGATGAAATTGTCCTCCAGAGAATATAATCAGTAAACCTGATGGACGTACGATTTCTCGTGTTCGTTTTAACCATCCTAAAAATCAATATCAATTATTAGAGTTCGTGTTTCCACTTAAAATTATTACCTTTTGGATTTTCTAGACGATCAGTCATTGTATATATAACAACATCTGCTTGATGAAGTTCATTAGGAATCCATGTAAACTGTTTGATAACACATTTTTCAACATGAGTTCCATTCATCATTCTTGAATCATCTTCTCCCCAATGATTTCTAGCATTTTGAATATTTCGTTGAATAAGAAATGCTCGATCAACTAATTTTGCACAATAATCCACACTAAGCACCTATTAAAATATGCACGTATGTGAAGAAGAAAAACAGAGGCTCTATACTATCGTCTTACATGATCAAAATATTTGCATAAATGGAAACTAATTCTTCCTGTTGCTGTTCCAAAGTGAATAACTCGTTTCAAAGATGAATTTTTACTTGGAGAGAACATTGATGCTAAATAATGTCGATATTCTGTGACCATATTATAGATTCCTGAATATTCATCTTCGTAACATAATGTTTCTGTTCGATCGGTTTCATATAAATATTGAGTATTTTCTGTTTGATATCGATGAATTTCATATAACTTTTGATCTAACGCAATCGGATTTTCTAAACGTGGAATTGTACACATTGTAATTTAAAATGTGCTTTATTTTATTTGTTCTTCATACCTGAAACACCATAACCAAGGATATACACTGAATTTTGTACAAGACGTACTTTTGGATCAGATTTCTCAAGATTGTTTTCACTCGATGTTGGGGATCGAGCAACACGAAATCCACAGTGTTGAAAGAAATGACGTCGGAACATGTATCGAGCAAATCTAGATGCCTCATCACCAGTTGACGCCCATGAACCACCCTTTAAGAATAAACTTGTTTATTTGATGATAACTTGAAAATTTGTATGATTAACTTACCATGATCATATTATGTCGTCCATCATAACACGGATTGGAGAAGTCGTGATATAAATAATGAGTTTGTCCACCTGGGAATCCATTAAAATCTGAAAAACAATCCAAAAGTTGTGATCATTGTTTTATTTTTGAAATACCATAATTAGAGTTACTTACTATCTTCACACCATTCCCAAACATTTCCAAAAACATCGTGGAAACCTTTTTTATTGGCTGGATAATAATTGACAGGCTAAAGTAAAGTAGTAGAAATTAATAATATGAAAATAATTTTCAAATCAACTTACTGTTGATGAGCCGAATTGTAGATTATGATTTATTTGATTACATTTGTTGTAAATAATATCACATGATGTGTCATTAGTGAGCGGCTGAAAATTTTCGACTAATGTATTTATATATAAAATCATTTAAGAGAATAGTAGTGTATCAGAGGTGGGCGATGAACGAGGATTCTGGCGAGACCCCACGATTCCTCAAGGGGCGGTCCTCGCGAGGGAGAGTTTTTGAAAGCTGGACGGGGCAGGGGGCGATGACGAGACAAGAACTGTACGAGGCGAGCCCGGTGGGGGACACTTTTTCTTTTTAACGAAAAGTGAAATGGAGACGTTGAACGGAATTCTTTCTAGTTCACTTGAAAAATATGTTTGTTTAGTACATGACATCTACCACACACACACAGCAGTTTTCTCAAGTTGAAGATAAAACTCTAACAGTTGTATATTGTAAAGATTATTTTTAACTTCTTTTATGTTTTCTTCTATCTTCCTATTACGTGGCCTGTACATGCATAATAGACGTGTTACACCAGAAAGTTGATCTAGGCTATCGCCGAACCCCGGAATGCTATGCTCGTCCTTTGGTTTATAAGAGTTTCTCAACGTGCTCTTTCTTTTCTTCAGCAGAAAGTTTTCTTCAAAATGCTCGAAAGCAGGACTTCTAGAAAACCATGGTTTTGGGCTGCTTGTACTTCTTAAAAAGGGTTTTAAAAATCACGGTTAAGACATGAAAATTTTTTGATAACATATTTGTATTCAGCGTCGAAAGGCGAACATTTTGAAAAAAATCAAGTCTCCAACTAAGAATTTAATTTTTGAATTTAATTTTAAAATAAAAATAGCTCAGCTTACAAAAGAGATAGAAACCTGGTTCAAACGCGGTTGGATAGAGAATTAAAAACTGAATAAACGTAGAGGTTTGATAGGATTCCAGTACTAGATAATCATGATCCTTCAGGTGATCTCTAGAAAACTCTTTTTACTTTCACTTTACTTTCACTATTTTTGAATGTTAAACTTTAGTACTGGACTTTTTCGACCGTTTAAAGGTCAAAAACAATCGAAATAAGATATTCTAGCACTAGCGATGATATTGGCTGCTATACAAAAGATAGCCGCCTTCATGTACTCAACTGCTAGGTCACATTGACCTTGTTTCTCTTCTCCAATCTCTGCGCTAAATCCAAATATGCTATTAAAAATGTTCCATGTCTTAACAGTGATTTTTAAAGTCCTTTTTAAGAAGTACAAGTAGCCCAAAACCCATGGTTTTCTAAAAGCCCTACTTCCGAGCATTTTGAAGAAAACTTTCTACAGAAGAAAAGAAAGAGCACGTTGAGAAACTCTTATAAACCAAAGGACAGTTCCATAGCGTTCCGGGGTTCGGAGATAGTATTCTTGTCTAACACACCTATTGTATCAATAGTTGACGATGAACGAGGCGGTGACGGGGTAGAAAGCTTACGGGACGATTCCCGCGACGTAGATTTCTCGAAACTTGTCGAGGTACGGGGCGATGACGAGGCAGGAAGTCTGCGAGGCGATCCTCGCGAGGGAGTTAAAGATAGTCCATCGTCCACTTCTGCAGCGTATTATATATACATACCGGTAAATCACGTAGCGCATGGTGTTCAGCTTCTGTGATTAGTCGAAATCCTTTTCCTTTCCAATTACAATAGGCTTTCGCTTCGTGATAATTGACTTCAACAGGCCAATTATATGGCATGTCGATAGCATTAAACATAAGACGAAGTCTGAGTAATAAAAAAATACACAAATTAGTTAAACTTATTTAATCACTAATCAATTTCTTTTTACCTATATGGAAAATCCGGACGTTTATGTATATTTTCTTTCGTCGAAAAGTTATTCGACCCATCATCAGGAGTACAATGTGAATAATCACCAAGCGTAGAACCACAACCGGATTTACAACCTTAAATTTAATAAAAAAAGTTTATTAACGATTTACAGCATATCTTACAACGTTCAATCTTCGATTTACCATTGTTACAGATCCAAAATATTGGATGATTTGCGTGACGAGATTTTAACCAGTGCTGTCCTTCTTCCGTCCAAGAATCAATACAACTGTTCGTATAACCACCAGCTTCGACAAATTTTAAATATTCTTCATTTGTAATTTTAAATGTTGTTGCTTCAAATGGTAAAACACTAAAACATGTTAGAAAAATTTGACTGTTTGTTCATTCAAATGTATCTTTCTGATTCTTACGTTTCTTCCACTCTTCCATATTCATTGTCCCATCCTGTAGTGTGTAGTAAAAAACGTTTGAAGTAATGAAAAATTAACAGAAACGAGATAGTGAATTAGATTTAAACTTTAGTAATCGTATTCATAGCAAATATGAACAGTAGAAATAAGATTATTTACCGTAACTCGGATAGTTATAACTTTTTCCGAGTATAACTTTTGTTTTTTCTACAGAGATGAATAGATTTTCAGGTGGGCTTGATTCTATAGAGAGAAACGAGTGTTATGTGACTTATGATTCTATCGAAATCTTCAAATGCTTACCAAAATTGAATGGACCGTAAGTCCATGCATCAGGCATATTTACCATGTGGATGGGCATTTGGCGAATGAGAACGGAAGAGGTTTCTAAGTGGATGCGTTCATGTTCAAAACCCATAAAAAATGCCCACTGGAAAACGGAAATATGAGATTATCCAAATGTCTAACATTTTTTTATAATCATTTACCCAAGGACTATCCCAGCCAATAGGCAGCAGCAATGGAGTTCGTTCAATGACTTTGAGAATCAACTGACGGACTTGCATACGATAATCGTGCACCTGTTTGACCGTTGGCCATTTATATTCACCACCCATTCGAAAGTTTTCCTAAAAGAATTTACTTTTAAATGACAAAAAATCTTTTCAAATAATGATTAGTACTTACAATATCATCCCATGACATTTCATCAACTCCTGTCTCAAAAACAGTTTCAAATTCAACATTGATACGTTCTTCTGGCTAATGAGAGGAAAAAAAATGATTTTTGATGATGTTTCACTTTTTAAGCAGAAAAACACAAGTGTCACATACCTTGATAAGATCTGCAAGAACAAGCTTGTTCATGAAAACAGCTGCCGTATGCCCATAATAAAAAATCAGCGGTAATCTTAATTTATCCGGACATTTGTAGAAGCAACTTGTGTCTAAATAGATAGTTACTTATGAAAATTAGAAATTTCCGAGTGCGACTTTATTTACCGACTAACGATGTAAATAGACTTTCGGTCAAGTCGTATGTATTTTCGAAATACTCTTTTATCTCGCTAAAATTTCATAGATGAACTGTAAGTTTTGAAAAGAGTGAACAAAAAAAAACGAACTTACTCTTTGGTGCATTTTGATAAATCGGGTGGTTGTAACGAGTGAAATGTTAGTTTACCAGTTAAAACATCTTCAGATCGAAGAGCTTCTTCCTGTTTGTTATTGTATAGTGTTTTATCCTATAGTCAACAGTAAACAAAAACTCTTAATCAGTCAATGGTATAAAACGATTTTTACGAGTGATTCTCCATAATAAAGTAGCTTCATATAAAATATTCAGATAAAGTGAAAAGTTTTCTTTACCTTCATCGATATTGATTTGTGGAACGGATAGCGTTTGATTTTAAAAATGAACTATGTCTTGTTTATAGTTTAAATAGATTAATTAGGTTGAATATATGCGTGTTTAATGAACAATATTATTGTAATATAGGCTATATCAGGTATTCACTTGTAAATTCATTTACTTCGAAAAATATCTAAGCGTGAAATTCTTTGATTGCTCGTTTGTCGTCTGTTTGGAATATTCGTTCTAATTTATACTTATAGATTTTTTTTTTCTTATGTTCTTTAGATAGTAGTTTCTGTCGTTTTTGGCAAAAACAGAAAAAGTACACCTCTATTGATGAAACAGAAGAGAAGAAAACAACGTATCATCGTCAATATGACAATAAGGTTCCTTTCACACGGTTTTCTGTAAGTTGACATGATTCAGGGAATAAATTCCATAGGACGAAGAAATGATAGTTGTAAATACGTTTGATGGACGATTTTCGAGGAAAAATTTTGAAAAATATATGAGATCCAGTGTTTTCTTTTATAAACGATGGTGACGTCAGAAATAGGCGTGGCACTTTACTTTTATTTACAGGGTAAAGAAAAATTGGCTATTTTATTTTTCTAAACTAAAAACAAAAATTTTATTTACTTTTTACAAAGTAAAAGAAAAAAAAAAAATTTAGTTTAGTTTATTATTACGAAGTAAAGTGAGAAACCTATTTTACTTTTCTTTTCATGGAAAAAATAAATATTTTTGGCATGACAATGATCTAATACCGAGATTAATAGAAAGTACGCACAATAAGCAAGTTATTCCAACATATAATTTCGTCTTTGAAAATAGATTCAATCTTATAATTACTTTTTAACACTGAATCAGCTTTACTTTTTCTCACACCAAAGTAAATCAAATTTTTGTTTTTATTTTTTACTTAAGTCCAGTAAAACTTTTTGCTCGGTTTACCCGGCAAAGTAAAAAACGTAAAAGTAAAAGCACCACATCTAGTCAGGAGCATTTTCTATGCGCTAGTTTCTTGAAATTTTGATAAAATTCTTCACTCCTTTTGGATTTTTAGAGGATCTTTTCCTCATACTGTTACAAAACCTCATGGCCTATATGCAGTCGAATGTAAAAAAAAAGAAATGAATAAATCGGTTCATTTCGAAAAGAGTATTTTACTATATAAATGCTTATGATGGAAAAAAGCATTTTAAATCATCGAAAAAATGTACAAAAATTTTTGCTTTTCAGAATATATTCTCGAAAATGCGTTAAATTTAGATTCACAGGTCAAAGCCGTCAGGATAGAATCAGAACTGGACTTTGTATTTTTTTCGTTACTAGTCAAAGAAACTTTCGTCCAACTTTAAAAATTTAATTCACGGAAATTTCATCAAACAATATTTTCTTAGTAATTTTTTATATAGAAAGTGTATCGTATAAGCTTATTGTATATCTTACAACAAGTAACATAAGATTCCGATAAATCAATTACTGAGTATTCAATTACGTCATCGCATCAGCAATGATGAGTTGAAATTCTAAACAACAATATCGCATTTATTTTTTAAAAACTCTTGACATATTGAATATTTAGTGTATATATTCGCAAACCAGAAACAATTGTTATCTACACAATGCATTACCATACAATTATTTGTTATATAGTAGTTCAATATAATAGTGTTCGCATACTTTAGAGAATGTTTTTAGTAGATATTCAGTTTACACATGGATGAGTTGTGAAATAATGTGATTGAAGTAATTCATCCCAAATCAGAATAATTAGCGATATAATGCAGTAAGATAATACAGAACAGCTTCGTACTATTCCTTCGAAAATATTTTAATATTCGTTTATTAAAAGATGATAAATAAAGTTAACGTCTTTTATTAACTCTTTCGGGACCGGTGACATTTTAAAACGTCATTAAATTTCACGTTATCTAACACAGAAGAATTCGAATTTTTTCTCGTCTCTTCGAAGTAAACGTTTTATTATCGCTCTATACATGGCCCTTAGATTGCTACAAAGAGAAAGATTGATACAGAAATAAATTCAAGTGGATTAAGATCTCATTCATTTTTGAAAAGTTGAGAAATTTGTAATTATCGCTCGAAATAAGTCGGTCCTGGAAGGGTTAACATTAGATACGCTTGACAATGACTTTACGTGAATACGTATAAATATGGGAAAAAACCTTTTGTCGTTTCCAGATCATAACGTTGTTAATTCAACGAATTTACAGGTTATTGCCCTTGATCAAAGAGCAAACACATCATATGTCTTCCTATTCACAATTGTTTGCTTGTTTTTTATCCAGACCATGACATCACTAATAATCATAACTGCGTTTAGTGATGTTTTACTCGAAGTTTAACAAAATATTTGCTTTTGCAAAAATTTTGCTTGTCACAAATGCCTCTGTTCCGCTGTCAGATGTTTAGTGTCTATCACAAAAACGAGGTCTTCAGACGTTATTTTTAGATGAAAGCAAACGTTTTGCTAAACTTCGAGTTACACATCACTAAACGCAGTTTTTGACGCTGAGCACGAATATGACGTTAATTTTGGATGAAAAATGTTTTTTATGCGCGGAAAGCGGGTTTTGATGCTCAGAAACCCGTTTTTCCCTCGGAACTTAAAAGTCTAAATTTCTCTTTTCATACCTATATACAGTAATTACTTGACTATATGATGACGCAAAGATATCCAAAAAATGTTTACCCTCCCGTGCAGAAAAGATATGTCAAAAATAGCGTCAAGATCCAAAATATTAAAAGATATTCTCTCAGTTAACTTTCACACTATATTTATCTTACTCAGTTTTGAACCCTCTTGCGAATGGTATAATCAGGATTTTTTTTTCACACACTCATTCTCGACATTCCGACGTCACACTGAAGACTATGACACTTTTGGCTTAAAGTCGTGTTTTCACCCTAAGGAAAAAGCTTTTCAAAATTATTTTTTTACCAAATGTAGCTCGCGCTCTCCTCTATCGATGTAGTTTTTATATTTTGTCGGTGCTTATACAGCGTAAAAAAAGGCTTCTTTTGCCTGTACGGAAAATTTTTTGCTCATCGGAAAACGTTCTCACTTTTCGGTTTAATGAGCCGACACAGAACAACAATGAATATTTCTAAATTTTTTTATCTACAAATATACTAGAGAGAGTGGAGAATATTTTGATGCACACCACTTGTCAAAAGCTTTTTTCATTACCGAGTTATGACCGAAAGAAAAAGAGGATATGGGTGTACGGAAAATTTTTGCCGCCGCTGTAGATTCAATCGTGCAATAATCCAACAGTTTCTTTATAAAACCTGTATAAAAATGGCAAGATTTGCTGAGACTATGCAACCATTGTCTTCTTCTCTCCTTCTCTCTCTCTCTCTATATATATAAACCATACCAAAATCTTATGTTATCCACTTATGCTCACATAAATCCATGAGTTTTTACTTCAGATTCAATCACTTTTTATAAATAATGGTGGTACATTGTTGGCTTACTACCACATACCAAGGATGACAAACGATATCAAATCAGCATCTACAGAATTCTGTTCACCAGATTCTGATACTGAAAAACAACCGAATGATTTGAATTTAGAAGAAGATAACAACAATAATAGTAGTGCGAATTCACCGTTATCTGTTTCAGAGGACAGTCATGATGATTATGAGGAGAAGGAGGTCAATAATGACCATTATTTAGTACATGCCGAAACGAATAATATAGACTCTTACATTGACAATGGAATGACAGAACATATTGGAGATATACAATTATCAACCAACAACAAAACATCAACACAAAGCGATGAAAATTGGTTTACAGAACAAAAACGAGATTTTAATACTCCTGCACCAAATAATGACGAAAATTTCAATGGTGGTATTGATCAATTCATTGAAACGGCTCACTCTCAAGGATATAATTGTCTTGATTTGACGAAAAAATGTATTAACGAATTCCCTTCTAAATTGCTGAAGTTTGATACACTGGAAGTAAGCGTGTATGAAGTTCTGAACATCATGTACACATTGTTTCCATTTTGTTCATAGTATTTATATCTCGAAGGTAACGAGTTAAAAACATTACCTGAGAATATATTTGTTCAACTAGTTGTATTAAAATGGCTTGATTTACGTAATAATCATTTACACAATGTACCAAACAAAGGCTTAGAAAAACATATGGCTCTTCGATATTTGCTTCTTGGTGGAAACCTCATCAAAACGTTACCGAGTGAATTGGGTATTATAAATGAATTAGAAATGAATTATTTTAAAAGCCTATGGTTCTAGCATTCTGTGTTTATTTTAGGCAAAGTTAAAACATTATCAGCCCTCAACTTAGATGGAAATCCACTCGAATTTCCTCCATTGGATGTAATTAAACAAGGACTGAAAGCAATTCAAATATTCTTGAGGGAAGAGCATATACGACAATCAAAAATAGCTCATCGGGAACTAGGTACGCGGAAAGGACGGAAGCCAGTTTCAAGTGAAATCCGTCCTCAGTATTTTTAAGTTACTTTTGATCGGAGTTTGTAGAAAAAATGTTTGTACACATTTCCTAGTCTTGCCGAGTCGGACAGTGTGTGAAATGCATTAACGTTTCTGATTTTTTTCAAAAACTAAACTGTAGGTAGCATAAAGCTTGGTGCACAAAAATAGGTAATGAAAAACTGTGCAAAGTGGTATATGACTTGTCCTTGGTAACTAGGTGAGCATAGAGAAAAAATGTTTTTGATCAACTGATATCCGGAGTCGAAGACCGTATGACTGTTTCGTGCCTTTTCTTCTATAAGTAAAAGAGAAGCCAACTCGTGTTTGGCATAGAAAAATTGCGCTTGAAAAGCTGTACAATATTCTTGTACAATCGATTGGAAGCTCAACTGTGTGCCCAAGAATTTGAGCGGTAATCTGAGTGTTCTTCAGGGAAAAAATGAGAAGAGTGAAAAGTTGTTAACGAAGAAATGCACTTACGGGTTGATTAATACTATGCTGAGATAACGTGTTCATGCTGTTTCTATCAGTATATCCAGTTGTTAACTTGGCGTATTCGTGACATGTCTTTTGCTTCCATTTGTCAAACTTTGACCGAGATTCATTCCAAATCCACATTTTTGAGCGACCAAGCCAAAAAAAATATTTATATAAATTTGCTCGATACTAGCTTTATCCAGTCGTTGCCCAATAATTGATTGCAGCCTTTACACTTACGATGCTTTTCTGTTTTCATCTTGTACTAGTCACATTCGTCACAAACAAATTTATAGTACTACTATAGAGTGTTTATATATTCACATATTCATTTAAATAAAAACTTTCTTTTCCTCATGCGTAGATCTATTCAGAAAAACGTGTACATCTTTCTTCTATTATTCAAAACAACTTCACTTTACGTCTAGTCTTTGATGTACATAGCAAAAGATATAGAGACGTGAAGTAGAACGAATTTTTTTAAAATTTTATTTTTAGAAAGAAAGCAAAATAAAGTTCCACTGAATGTCGGTCTAATTTTCACCTAAAATCAATCTCATGTCTGATAGACTTCATTCATTTTGAATTTTATAGACTTTTCAAGCGCAATTTTCCTATGCCAGACACGCGTTTGCCTCTCTTTTACTTATAGAAGAATAGGGTTTATAAACTTCGATAAAAAGTAGCTTAAAAATACTGTGGACAGATTTTGCTTAAACTTGGCCTCCGTCCTTTAGAAAAATATACTCTTCACACGATTTCTTTTATCTAGATTCCGATGATGAAAACTATGATCAAGAACGTGACATTAGTTTGATAAACGACATATGGGCATCGGATGATGATGATGGTAATGGTAGAAAACAACCAATAAAGTATGGAGGAGCATTTTCAAATTTTCATTACGTAGCTTAAATCACACATCTTCATCCACTGCTGTGCTGTTTTGGGAGATACGCTTTTTTCGTCGTCTTACGTCTAGTTCCGGACATGATTGAATTTTTCTTCTGCTCGGGCAGCGTTTGTCGTCTATTTCCTATGGATCACAAAGCAGAACATTATTATTCATCCTTAACATTATAATTGTGCTTTAAGTATGAGCGTATGGGTTATAGTGAGATGAGACCACATTCCCGCGCTAAAATAGAAGGTGGAGTTTATTTATCTAGTACGGTCTCTGGTGTATCAAAACAGTTGTTCATAATAAAATGAACAATTTCTTTTCCCTATTACGTGACCTAATTTTTCTCACCGAATAGTTATCGGGTTTCTTTGAACTTTCTTCTTTTGTTTTAGAAAACCACAACAGCTGAGTAAATTAAATAATACAAAAGCCACAGATAGTTTCGTTAGCCGTGCTAACGAAGAACAACGACTGTTCAAACTCAAAGTAAGACGAACATGTGTGAATGGCCAATTATTTTTAGTAATTTCATTCATATGTTCATTCTCGACCCACTACTACGGGAAGGTTTAAATTACTAATATCGATGAAAAAATCAATCAGAGCTATATGAAAAGATGCTTACTAATGCTTTATACCGGGTGCGCCAAAATGATTGCAACATCGCGTATTTTGCATACATCTCGAGATATATGCAAAATACTGGAAAAATGTTAGAAGAGGACAGATTGATCCACGTGGATATGAGTGACTCTCATATCCAAAAATGAGAACAGCTGTCAAGGGTTAAGGAAGGGGAAAAAAAACCTATTTTGCTTTTTGTGCAGTATTTTATCTGCTCTGTCCATCTGCAGTCTCAGTTTTGCCCAATCATTTTTAGTTTCTGTGAAAACTTCGATGGAATTTTTGGTCCTCGAAAAGTTCAAAAACCGTGTCCCATCCCCTTTTAAGTCTACTACGCAGCCAATAAGCACTTTAAGTCAAATGTTTTTGGATCAAAACGTTCACTAAAGCAGGCACTATAGATTGTTGAAAACCGCAAGTTAGTAGCTTTTTTCGTTTTTGAGTAATTGACATTTTACTGACGTCCAGTAGCTTGTGACATACAATTTGTCCTACCCCCTTCTGACTTCCTCCTGACCGAACTACATGGAATTAAGAACTCGTTTTATTACCATACATGTCAAATGGATAGCATAAGTTATGCAGTAAATACCAAGGCTTTAGCTTATTTTTAAAGGAAAAAATTTGAAAACCAATGTCAAGTAATTGGTTTCAAGTAATTGACATCAAAATGTCCCACCCCCAAACATATCTTTAGAGTTGTAATGGCTAGCAGATAAAGCCTCAAATCTTACGATTATACGTATTCTGACACCCTGAATCGAATGGTCGGCTCAGTTTTCTGAAAACCAGTTCAGCAAAGGATTTCCGGAGGCCCAAGCTTAGAAATTGTTAAAAGCCATTTTTTAAGGATGCCAGTTGATAGAGTACCTATGTTTCAATACATTTTTAAGCTCAGTTATGGTTTTTTAGCTGAAAAGCAGAGAAAATCTCATTTTCGATCCTGAGTCAAAAAGCGAACAACCAGGATTTGGGCTGAGAAGGACTTGGTAGTTTGGAAACAGAGTTTTTTCTAGACTTTCAAGTACCCTTTATAAACCTACAGTGTTCAAATAGTTTTCTGGACACTTTCGTTTTGGGTCATTTTTTTCTTAAAAACGGTACAAAAATCACCAGAATCACTCATATATATAGATATAGATATACATACTCTCGCGCACGTGTATGATTGACGATACCAACGTTTTTTTCTCATTTTAAACGAGACGAAAAACAGTATCTGTTATATAAAACACTTTATTAGACTAGCGAAAACGAGACCTATTTGGATAAGGGAACAGAGAGGTGAATTTGCTGTGCACATCCTCTGAATATACTACCTGACTCTCTAGATTCATTAGAGCCCTGCATTAAATGGACATGGACAAACTGAAAAACTTTTAAATTTTTTCAAAGCAACAATTCGATTGAACACTAGTGATAAGATATTTGGCCGTAGAAAGAAAGAAAGGAACAAACAAACAGAATATAGTCTATACCTTTTTTCTTTTTTTCTGGTTCTCTCAGTACATCTCAGCACGAAATCTTCAAGTATTGAAGACAGTTGGGACTGAAGTCGAATAAGCCGAAGTCAGTGACGATGAACAAGTCGAACACAAGAATGAAGAATAGTAACTTTTAGTAACTCGGCGACTAACAAGTCTTTTTTTGAACTGTAGAGTACTATGGGTTAATTTCGGCCACTTGCACAAAGTTTCTTAGTATTTTGCGTATTTCTAAGGCGTTTTTAATTGGATAAGCGTGCTATTGAATATAAAGATAGAACTAATAGTTCTCTATCCGCTCATGTAAAAATCTTCTAAAAATCCCTCTCCGTTTTCGACCAGTATTCAAAAGGAGACAGGGACCTTCAAACCGGCCGGAATTACCCCATATGGAATAATTCCGACCGATAAGCTATTTTGAGTGGGGTAATTCCGGCCGGTTCATTCAAATACATGGAGTTTACTCACACAAATCTCTGCTTATTTACGATAGGTCCTAATCAGATAGAAATTACGCCAGTTTAAAGCTCTTCTTCTCTTCTACCTGTCATACAAATTTCAAATTATTAACATCTATTCTAATGAAGTTAATTAAAATACAATAAGACGTGGTTAGATTTCTGATTTTTTCATTTTTCTCGATTGGGGTAATTCCGGCCTGCTAGGTAAGTATCTAGCATCGCGCAAAATACTATATCTCTGCCGTACATATAATACAATAATCAATGACTATAAAACAAACATTCTATATAATTTTTTGCAATATTAAATAGGTAAAATCAACTAGATATCGTATTTTGGGCGATGCTAAGTACTTACCTTAATCACATTCGCACACCAGTACGATTAAACAATTAGAGCTATCAAATCAGTTTTTGAATGAGTTTTTGTAAGTATTTTGATATTTGTTTCATAAACATCTAACTCTAGTTTCAATAGTATCTTCCTTAATTTTAATCAAATTTCATGTCTCATTTTTTATTCAACTCATAAGAGTACAGCCCATGATATATATAGAATTTTTTCATGAATTGTTCATAATTAATGAGAATATTTAATAATACTGTTTAAATTCATTACCAGAATATGTGTAAAATTACATAAAAATATTTAAAATCATAGAGCCTACTGATTTTGAGCTATTGAGTAGAGTCCTGCGGGTTTAATCCGATCCCGAAAGCTTTTTTTCGCATTCGAGACGGGTTTCAGTTCATCTGGGATCGGGTTTGTTTCCGATCCCGATTCTTCTAGTTTGATATAGGGGGAGATAAGAGACAATTCTAAATAAATAAAAAACAATGGAAAATAAAGAAAACGGACAGATGTTTCGCACTAGACGTACAACCGACCAGATGCATTTTATTTTTGTACCTCTACGGGTAGCAATTCACTAACGTTAAAATGAAAGAGAGCACTACTTCAGTAGACAAAAAAATATTTCGGATTCGAGCGGATACGGGACGGGTTTTATTTGAAAAAATCGGAATCGGGTTCGGGATCCCGAAAAAGTTCTGGCGGGTTCGGATTCGGGACGGGTTTCAAATCTACGAGATCGGATCGGAATCGGGTTCGAAAATTTTCAAACCCGCAGGACTCTATTATTGAGATGCAATTTTCACATATGTTGTAGGTATTGACATGACGAGTACCTCTTACCTGAAGAGTATGTCAGAAATCTACTTCTGAAAAGTACCAGAGGCTTGTTTCAGGAAACGCCATGTATTTTGGACGTTTTTCTAAAACCTTTTTCAAAAAACCATACTAGTATGGACGTAAAACTTGGAGCGACGTCCAACCATACTAACGGACGACGCGTACGATTTAATTAGAGGCACATATGCTGTCAAGACGGGCAGTATGACTGTGTTGCAAGCCGCGACCGTCGCCATAGTCTTGACTATACACAGGTCACACGACCTGATGAGCGTCATTTTAACTTTTTGGACCTCTTCGTCCTTAACTGGCGTCAGGGAGTACGTCAAAACGTACTCTCGGACATTTCTAAAAAATAATCGTTTTCCAGACTAGTCTGGACGGGATGTTCAGACATTTCGTACTAGTCCGGACGCCAGTCAATCACTTTTTTTTCTTTACCTGGGCAAGTACAGAATATAATGAAATCTTCAAATTTTTTAAAAAGATGCGCAATTCAATCCTCTACAAACTTCTATTTACCTCAATGTAAAATAATAGAACTGAACATTTTTTTGACTACCACGCATTTTTTACTATGTTTTTTCCGATTTTTTTCAGGTTGTAAACAGGCGCATCTGAAAAACGCATTATTTGTAATACGATTGAATATCAAATGCTTTTTCAGAATTATTTGTAAGCGTTTGATCACAATCTACTTGTGCCTAATAACAATGGCCTACCTGAGCCATCCCTGCGCACATCCTCACCCTCATCCTCACTACAACAAAAACAGCCTTCTTGATAGTGTTCAGGTTTTCATCCAACTGAATCGTTTTATCACATGCTATTTAAGCTCCAAGTAAAAAGAGAAATCCGTTTTCCACAAAATACTGTAAAAATGAACTCGGTTTGGCCGTTTGTGACATTTCTAGAATGTTTTTTTGAAAAGGAGCACGTAACCAAGAAAGAAAACGTCGCCATACTCAAAATATGACTTTGCAGAAAGTGCCGCCGAAAGAATGAGAATTATAAAACTTCGGATTTATGCACAATCGACAGAGGCTTTCAAGAGCTATTTAGCAGTGAGTTATGTTTTAAAAACTAAATATTTGTTTGTATAGAAAAAAACAAATTAATAAAAAAGACGTGTGGGCAGTAGATGCAATTCATATCATCACACTATGTGACCTATAAAAACGTTCATTTCTATTATTTTAAATTGAGATAAATAGAAGTTTGTAGGGAATTGAATTGTGCATCTTTTAAGAAAAATTTGAAGATTTCATTATTTTTTTGTACTGAGATATATGTAAAATACGCGATGTTGCAGTCATTTTGGCGCACCCGGTGGTTGTGCATACCAGTATATGGAGATAGGTGGGTTGGTGAAGTATGAGGGGAAGTTGCCATACAGCATCTGATCTCGACTTAGTGTCATTTGACCTATTGACAGCGTTCAGAGCTTTCATATATGTTACAGTGGAAATTAAAATTCAGTGGAATTTAAAATTTCAATTTCCACTGGCAAGAATTCAGTGGAGATTGAAATTTTGATTTCCACTAGTGGAATTTTAAATTCTACTGTAACATATATATTCATATATATGATTGCAGCTACAGGTACGTTAAGTGGATACAGGCTGTATACGTTTTATTACTATAATATTCCTCGAGTAAGCTTTCGTGGGAAGAGAATATTTCACTTCTTTTCAATTCATACTGCTGTAGTATTAAGAGATAGCGTTAACTATCAATATTGTTTTCAAATCTGAGTTGATTTCGTACTTTTTTTAGCAGCGAAACATTAAAATTGATGAAGAATTGCAAAAATCAAAAAATTCCGAACTGTTGCAAGACTGGAAAGAAAAGTATCGAGAAAGTCAAAAACTAGTGCGACGAAAACGTCTTATAAAAGGAAAAGGTAAATACCTAAAAAAATGTACACTAGAATAAGAATCTGCAATTCAATTTGTTTAGATTATCAAGAATCTGTGAAAACTGCACCATTCGGAATTGATCCAAACTATCTAGATATAATGAATAAAGATCAACAAAAATTTGTAGAAGATGCTGTCAAATTTGAAAGCAAACGAAATCGTTCACCGGAAACAGCCTATAGAGAAGAAGAAGAGAGGTAAATAAATTTATAATATACTTATCATTTAACATTTGTGTTTTCATGTTATCCAGGCAACAACGTGATATACAAATTCAAAAAAGAATTCGTCAGATTACCAGCAATATGTTACAGCGACAAAAGCAACCGAAAGGCAATGCATCGGAAGAAAAACGACAAGCAGAGTTAGAACTAAGAGAGGTATGAAAAAGACACTGTAATCTTAAATTAATTTCCAGTTTATCGACGGAAAATCGCCGAGGATTTTCTGGCTTATAGAAATTCCTTGACGAATTTCCAGCTTTCTGGAAAATTTTGATTCTACTTTATAGAAAATAGAAAAAAAATTGCTATAAATTCGATTTTCTATAAAAGTGGAGAATCGCTGAGGATTTTCTATAAACTAGAAATTTTCAGTTTATAGAAAATCAATTGAATTTCTATAAATAATTTCCAAAAATCTGGAAATTCGATTTTGATTTTCTATAAACTAGAAAATCCCCGGCGATTTTCTAGAAAATGGAAATTAGCTCAGGAATTTCTAGACCAAATACTTATTCATCTTTTTGTTTTGCAATCAGTGTAGGTATAAGAGCGTCACGTAAAGACACCCATATTACACTTAAATAAGCTTCGACAGTTTCTACTTTAGATCACAATTCTGCCTATGCCAGCGGGAATTTTTTATTTAAGCAGAGACAGTAGTGGTGCGAAGTTTCGGTAGGAAGGTTCCAAAATTGGAGACGTTCACCAGAAATTTCTCAAAAACATGAGCGGGATCAACCACAATACAACCTGGTCGCGCAGCCACTCGGTGCAGATCCGCCAAGGAATTTTCAGTTTATAGAAAATCAAAAAGGAGTTTCTACTTTCTTGGGAATTATTTATGGAAATTCACCGACGATTTTCTAATAAACTGGAAATTCAAGGAGGAATTCCTATAGGTTCTCTTTGAAATTCGCCGAGCATTTTCTATAAATAACTTCCAACCTTACAATATAGTCAACATCTTTATTTTTTATTGTCGAAAATGTTACAGGTAGGAACAGACGTTCGTCTCTCACAAATCTGAATCGTTCATCGTAGAAAAATATCTCTTAAGAGTATTCTTGCTGATGATTTGTTTTTTCTACATCACGCAAAGGAGTTAAACCAACCTTTCAGAGATTACAGTTTACTATGGGAATAAGTTATAATAGAAAGTTTCAATAATCAATATACCGCGGCTCGAAAAATCATTCGTCCACCTATGAGTCATTGCACGAGAAAGACGGCTGTTTCTCACAGAAGCGTGCTCAATGACTATTTCAGATTTTTTTCTAAATAGCCTCATCTTGTAGAGCGGGATCGAGAATCTGTAAATCCAAATTTATAGGCTTCCCGAACTTTTCGTTCTGTAGATATGGAATTTTTTCGATTCGAGTAAAATTAGAGAAGTTATGCGGGTGAAAAACGTACATTTCGTTTTTCTCGTGAACAAGAAGAGATGAAACCGCCATTTGTTCAGGATAGGTAGTATTTGATGTCTACCATATAGACCGAAACGGAGCTTCATGGAACACTTTTGTGAGCGATCGATCTCGTTATTATGAACTTACGTGGAAGTTGGAATTAATAAGTTCAAATATATTCAAAGGCCATTCAAAGCATATATTTCCAAGCTTCTAGATCGTCACCATTAATTTTTTGTCAAAATTCAGCTGGGTATTTTGAAAAAAAATTCTATCACTTCAACA